CCCCGATTATTTAGCTGTTTTGTTAACGGAAAAAGCAGCACGGGTTCTGCATAATTAATTAGATGGGTTTCTTCAGAGTTCTGTTCTAAATTCTGTTTGCAGCTAGTGAGAAATCTGACCTGTGAAAAAAATTAGAACATTTGTACTTGTGGCTTTTCTTTGTTTACCTGTCGATGCCAAACTCCATATGTGGAGTTGCAAAACTGTAATTACTAGAAGGCATGCCCCTATTCCTGGTCCAGGATCTGCCAGCTATGCTATCTGGCACAGGGAAGCAGCAGGAGGAATAGGGGCTTTAATATCGTATTAGCACAGAAGTGTGGTCATTTACATGAGATAATGCAACAGCTATTATGTAGCCCAAGAGAGAAGGTACTAGCTGCTTTATGTTAATCTTCGGAGTTGTTCAAGCCCTTACCTTATACCAGCATTGCTTGTTACTTGCATTTATCCTCACCCCAGCTCCTCTGAGGAAAGTGATAGGTCATTAAGCTGATAGTTCCTGTGGTACCCAATTTACTACTTTGTTTATTCCTTCCTGTGTGTGACAGCTCAGCTCTTTCAGGAGGGTAGCTGGCATAGCTTTCATGCTGAAAATATATGTATTTCCCTCCCTTTCATGCCCTCCCCACCAGCCTGTAACATTTAAAAAACCCTCATAAAGCGTATATTGCAATTTTGAAACTGCTGGCTGTTTTGAAACTGTTCTTTCACTGTTCCTACACAGTGTATTTTCTCATTTAAAACAGCAATATATTTGGGAAGGGAAAGGGGGGTCTCCCCTTGTCCTAGATCTCCTAGCACAATGGTTACACTCATGTAAAAATACACTAGAGAATATTCTGTATATATGTCTGTGTGCGTGTGTTTCTGCACGTATTATACTAATTGCTTTTGACGTTCTGGTATACATGGTGGCTTTGGAAGGCAAAATGTTTATATCACACATTAACACTTCCCAAATGTAAAGTTGCTTCGCTGTGGGGCTTCTGAGCATCTTAGTGTTGACATCAGTTGGCTTTGATTTAACATAGTTGTGACTATGTGAAAATTGCATAACAAACATGTGTGGTAGAAAATGCCCTCAAATTCAGGGGTGCGTATAGCTGTGCTGCATATGCTTGTCTGTACATGGCCAGAAAGTTAGAGTAAATTTTTTTAAAGGCTTTCAAGTATCATTAGGCATGCATTTCAGGCATGCCTGGCTTTTGCTCTTAGAAGTACATAAAGGTTAAAGTTAAAAAGGAACCAACCACCAGAGCAAGCTTCCTCATGTGCATGCTTTTGTTGATCCTGTTGCAAATCTGAAATACGAAGCAGTGCTTGTATCTGTTAGTTTAACAGGTTATCCTGCAAATCTAGATAGAAATACATCTGATTAAAAAGTGCTATGTAAGCACTGAACTTTTTTTTTTGCCTTACTCCTGTTTACCTTGTTAATTCAGTAGCTAAAAGTGCCATTGTCACAAAACTAAAGTTTCTGGTCTTTGTATTCTTGTATATCTTGACTTCTTACTACAATTGCCACAGCATTACCACAATTTCAATTGAATTGTTATGTAAAATACTTGGGATTTTTTTCCCCCGCTGTCTCTGTTAACTTTCAGATTTTCAGAATATGTAGGAGGCTGTATTTTTTTCAGGACAAGCACCGGGGGGAAATTTACATTCTCAAGATAGTATATTCTTCAAAACTGTCGTAAGCATAAACAATATTAGTAAATCCTTTCCTTTGCAAGATGTTTTACATATCACATTCAAATTACCAAAACCCACAAGTTACAGGTCAAGGTGGGTAAATATTTGTCTTTATTCTTATCTGTTCTCCACACCAGATAATTTTGTAACTGAAAATTTAGTTTATTTTTTGTTTTAATCCATGGCAATAGGGGAATGTTCTGAATCTTATAAAGAAGAAAGAATCTGGGAAGCAAATGGTGGAAAAACTGCTCTTACAGCTTGCCGAACTCTAGTACTACTCTTTCTACCAGACTGACTGGAGAGGTGGTTCCTCTCTTAGAAAGCTTAACAGTTGGCTTCATCTGCCAGCTGCTTAGCAGCTTTTTCCAGGAAAAACATATTTTTTGTGGGTAAACTTTAAAAGGAATGCGCTTAATATAGCGGTCCCATTTTCTGTTTCTGATCAGTTTTGAGACGAAGGTCCAAAAACGTTTATTTTAAAGACACATCTATTCTGACCCCCCTTTTCTCCTTCCACAGCCTTCACGGACTAGCACAGCAAAGCTTGCGTAGATAGTACCAAATATTACTGAAAGTATTTCCATAATCTTGCTCAGGGAAAAGATTCTTGAAAAGTTAAAGGTTTTTCTGCGAGTTTTATTTATTTTGTGTAGTTGTCCATTTTTTGTGTATAAAATTAAACATGTTTTTTCTGTGCAAGAGGGGGATCAAAAGCTCACTGAGCCAGACAACAAAACCAGTGAGCAGAGGGGTGGTCAAATGTGCTTTTTGGGAAAATCAACAAGTCATCTTTATGTTTTTATTTATGCATTTTACAGTTTAGCATACATGGAATAGCAGGGTGGATACACTTAACTAATTGTCTGACATCTAGATAAACACCTCCATTATTTTGCCATGGAATTTGAGAGCAGCATCACTCTGAATTTTCATTCTGACAAACAAAAAATTCTTCAGAGACCCATGTAAGCAGTTGGAGTTAATCAGACTGTACACATGTGAGCAATATGTAGCAAATTAATGTAAACCAAATGAGTTTCCTGTGTGCTTTTTTCCCAAAAGGAAACAGTCTTCATAATTATTCATATTATTTTACTTTTCATCTTTGGGGTCCTAGCTCTC